ACTACGGAAGTTTCCTGATATACAAAGATATTATTCTCTAACAAGAGGAAAGTGGCCAAGTACTAGGATTCTTGTAAGTTTATATATTATTTTATGGGAAAATTCCAAAAAAAAAACCTCAAATTGATGAAATCTACCAAAAACAAACCTCAATTTCTGATTTGACAAATAAATACCTCAATTTGATTAATTTTGCCAAATAAAAACCTTATCGATAACGTCGTTTACTGAGCGTTTAATTATGATGACGTGTATGCATACCTGGAAAACAAAATCCACATAGACAGACACAAATAATCGGTCTAAGTCAAAACCAACATTGCACTAGAAGACGACGTAGCATAAGTGCATAACCAACCGATTTAATATCTAGATTAAACCCTAAAAAAATCCCTAAATTCCAGTCTTCTTCTTGTCGTTTTTTGTGCGCTTCTCTCCGAGGAAGGCGTACGAGGATGTTATCCAAACAAGGCATAGCATAATCGTTTCCTTTTTCGACAACGTATCTGAATCAACCTTTCTCTGGCTTGTCTGAATCGTGCGTCGTCTATAGCAAGTAATCGAATATCCCTAGAAACTCAAAGAAGTCTCGTGTCCCTTCATCGTTCACATCTACCTTCTTCATCGGCAGCGAGATCCTCCTCCGATGGCTAGACCAAGCAGGTATTTTTGTTGAAACTCTAAATCTCTTAAAACCCGAGAAGAAGTCATTGATTCCAAAAAATGACTTTATTGATTCATATTGTTTGTTTTGTTTATGAAGTCTTTGTTTCTTTCTCCACATGTGTAGTGTGAAAAAGAGATATTTATCAACTTTCACATGGCTGGAATGATGCAAATTAAAGATGGACATTACTCTTACATAAGTGATATAGTAGAGAAGAATGTTAGATTCGATCCAGATTTACTGAATTTTTGGTCGTTCCAAGAATTTGTGAAGTCTAGGAAGATTGATGGAAATTTTTTTGAGATGTGGTATAAGCTACCAAATCAACCGTTGGATGAACTGATGATGGTTTCTGAAGATGTAGACTGAGAAATTCGGGAAATGTGATGAAACAGCTATAGCAGGAGGTGCATTAGATGTTGATATAGACAGTGAATTATCGGAACCAAGTCTTGTAGCGGGTGCTCAGGCTAGTGATTATAGAAGGAATCGTGATAATGATGTACTGATTAATGAAAATTTTGTTGATGATATTGCTAATGAGGGTATTGATGAGGATTTTGCTGATTTAGCAGCTGGTTATGATAGTGTTGACGATGTTGATGATCAGGTTATAAGGGATGATGATGTTGGTGAGAATGTGATAAGTGGTGAAGTGTTGGAGAATGATGGATTTGAGGAAAACGATGTTGACATATGATTTGATGAATTTGCAGCCGAGGTTGAAGAAAATATGGCAGATGTGGGTAAAGAGATTGATGTAGATTATGACAGTGAAGCGGAAAATCCCAATGATGATGCATTTCCAACTACCCCATTGAACAGTGAAGATGAATGGAAAGAGTATGAAGCACCTTATAAGGAGAAAAAGGATTCAGAGAAAATTTCAAGACCACCTAATAAATTTCAAATGCCAAAGAAAGATGCTATTTTGTATTTGGGTCAGACATTCAGATCCGGTGAGGAATTCAAAAATTCTTTGTTTAAGTACGTTTTGGATACACAAATGGAGGTAAAAATGACAAGATGGTGTAATTGGAGATACGGCGCTGTGTGTCGTACAGAAGGTTGCCCGTGGCGAGTTTATTATTCAATTGAAAAGCCAATCAATAAGTATATCATCCAGAACATTTGCATAATGCAAATGGATTTGCAAAGATGGTTTCCATGAGGCACATTGGGGAGATGTTTGCTGAAATTCTGAGGAGGACACCATCTTATTCAGCGAAACAAATGCAAGATCAATTGCTTGATCAATATTCTTTAGAAATGTCATTGTTTAAGTGCTTTAAGGCACGGCGTATTGGGTTGCGTATGGTGATGGAAGACCAAATTACTCAGTTTGGTAAACTTTGGGATTATGAAGCGGAGCTTCGTCGATCAAATCCAAACACGACGACGGAAGTAGGAACTGCCTTGGATGATAACGGGAGACAAGTATTTGATAAATTTTATGTTTCTTTTGAGGTTCTCAGAAAGTCTTGAAAGAAGTGTTGTCGCCCAATTATTGGATTATATGGTTGTTTTCTGAAGTGGGATTTAAAAGGAGAGTTGCTAGCTGCAGTTGGTAGAGACGGGAACAATCACATTTATCCGGTAGCTTGGGCTATAGTACGGGTGGAGGATAAATACACATGGGGATGGTTTATATGTAAGTTGAAGGCAGATTTGGATCTTGGTGATGGAGAAAATTTGACAATTATATCTGATAAACAGAAGGTACATAACAAAACTTATTCTATGTTGTAGAACAATGGATGCATTTTGACATCTCTTTGTTTCGTAGGGCTTGGTCAATGCTGTTGTACAAGAGCTTCCATGTGTAGAACATCGTACGTGTGCTGATACGATCTCGGATCGAAATTCTCTAATTAGGCGATGGAACCAACCAAAATTTCAAAATCAACTCGTGATCGAAACCTAGGCCCAGACATTCCAAAGAACCGTCCTAAACCCCTACCAAAATAATGATAGAAACCTAGGCCCAGACATTCTAACGAACCGTCCTAAACCCCTATCAAACCAGGACTAGAAATATCGGTATCGCGAAGACGCCACAAACGCTTATGAGCTAGCGTTTGATAAGTCGGGATGAACGCCACGAACGGAATCACTCCATTCGATAAGTTCAAAGGTTATTTCGATCCGAGATCGTATCATTTGGTATCAGAGCTTGATTCTCTATATTAGGATTATCCTATCTTTCTTTCTTTTCATTTCTATCATTTTTTTTCTTTTGTCGGGTCTCATGTCTTTTTTCGGTCATTCGTTTTTTTGTCAGTTTTAAATCAGATTCATCTCAAGCTTTGAGGGCAAAGCTTTGTTTAAGAGGAGGGGAATGATATGATCCTAGAAGGGTGTGTCCAGAAACTAAAAACAATCGATCATGAACAGATTGTCCGTGTCCAAGAAATCTCGGTTTTCGGACAGATTGAGCGTCACGGAGCAATTCGGTCGTAACTTTGCACTCCAATGTCCAAATGACGTGATTCCAGTTGGAAATGAACCCTGGCTCACTAAGGGTTTGCTTTAAAGAAGTTGAGATCCAATGGAAAAATCTTCAATCCTGGAGAGAGGACGCAATCCACGGTTCAGTCCTGAGAATACAGATTGAGCAGGTTGTCTTGTTTTATTAATAACTTTTGATTGGAGATTCGGATCGCAGTTTCGTTTGAAACAACATAAACTAGACATCCAGATCTTCACGTGGATATAAAGTACATACTATTTGGTCAAGGTTTGGTCCCTCAATCAGTCATTTGAAGACCACGTCCGTTCTAGCTCTAAATCTGATTAATTCGGTCCAAGATCTCTTCAAATCTTGACTTGGACTTGCTCCAATCTTGTTATGGGCTCTTGGTTTTGTTGAGAAATTGGCCCAACAAGAATTATGTCATTCTTGGACCGAATTAATCAGATTTAGAGCTAGAACGGACGTGGTCTTCAAATGACTGATTGAGGGACCAAACCTTGACCAAATAGTATGTACTTTATATCCACGTGAAGATCTGGATGTCTAGTTTATGTTGTTTCAAACGAAACTGCGATCGGAATCTCCAATCAAAAGTTATTAATAAAACAAGACAACCTGCTCAATCTGTATTCTCAGGACTGAACCGTGGATTGCGTCCTCTCTCCAGGATTGAAGATTTTTCCATTGGATCTCAACTTCTTTAAAGCAAACCCTTGGTGAGCCAGGGTTCATTTCCAACTGGAATCACGTCATTTGGACATTGGAGTGCAAAGTTATGACCGAATTGCTCCGTGACGCTCAATCTGTCCGAAAACCGAGATTTCTTGGACACGGACAATCTGTTCATGATCGATTGTTTTTAGTTTCTGGACACACCCTTCTAGGATCATATCATGTGCACGACACATTATACATGAATTGGAAGAAGAAAGGTTTCAAGGAGCTCAATTGTAAACACGTGTGGGGAATATTCACGATGGTCTTTTTAAATATTAGAAATTTTTGAATTTTTTTAATCTGATTTTTTTTATTATTGGTATAGATTGCAACAAATCACTTATACTGATTATTTGTATCTGTCCACGTGGATTTTGTTTTCCACATATTGTTTTCCACATATGCATCCACGTCATCATAATTAAACGATCAATAAACGACTTTATTTTATTGATTGGGTTTTTAATTGGCAAAGTTAATCAAATTGAGGCATTTGTTTGTCAAATTGGAAATTGAGGGTTTTTTTTTTTTGTAGATTTCATCAATTTGAGGTTTTTTTTTAGAATTTTTCCTTCTTTTATTATTGTTTGTTAGAAACTTAATCTTAAATGACATTCTTCATATAATGTATATATATGTTTGGTATTCGAGGATAATTCAGAAAATATTTAGTTTTTATCTGAATTTTGTACAAAAGGTTAAAACAATTTTGTAACTTTTTTATAAATATTAGATATGTTATGATTAATTTTAGAAAAATCAAATTGTCAGTTATAAAAAAAAACAAAAGGTATTTGTGCAATTCTAGTAAATATAAAACGTATGTTTGCATTTATATCGGGGTTTTGAAAAATTGGCAATAGAAATCACAAAAATACGATTATGAATCAGGATTTGTTCTCCATATAATTTCGATATATAAATATCCAAACTCGAATATAAGGTTTGACAATGCGTGATTGAGTAAATAATTCAATAGAACAAATCAATTAATTTTTCTCTTTGTTTTATATCGTAAAAGATGAGAGTAAACAAATAAAATATAAAATGGTATTTAATTCATCGATATTTCTTTCTTTTTATTTTGAATTTTAAAAAAAACTGCTAAGCTAACGGATGAATTATATGTAAAATTTTTCTATTTAGTAAGGAAGAGCACGGTGTGGTGGGAGTCTAAGTAAAAAAGAGAACTCCACACACCAAAAACAAAAGGAAAAATATATCTACAAGTATAGGATTTGTGCATCTAATACAAAAAAAAAAATCATTCACAGAGGTATTGGGTTATCTTGTCCCGAGCAACGTCTCTGCTCAAACGCGCGTCCTGGTCGCACCGCCCCCCTTCGTGCCGCAAAACGCTGATGACGTTTCTGTACGTCAGCAAGTCCTTCTCCACCTTGCCCATCGCCCATTCCAACCGCGATTTCTTCTCCGCCGCCGCGCTGTCCACCGTCTCCTCCATTGATTTCATCACGTCCTCGAATTGATTCACCAAACCGCTGATTTTCGCGACTTCGCTCAACGCAAGACACGTCCCTCGCTCCATCGAAGTAATCGCTGCCTTTTGGCGTTTCAGAGCGTTTCGCGATTTCAGCCATACGGTGGAAATGAAAACACCCAGAGAACCCATCGGCACGAACGAGACGGCGGCTCCCAACGCTGCCAGCACCGGCGGAGCCACCGCTACACCTAAAATAATTTACTATATGTAAGGGTCGTCGCTGGTGAAATCTTTGAAACTCCTAAGATTCTGGAGAGTTTTGCTGAAATTCCCTTCTTCTCTCTTTTCCTCCACGAAACCAGAGAGAATGTGGAGAATTAGGGTTTCTCCAAGATCAGCTTTCCCCAGAGATTTCTTCAGAGATTCACAGAGAACATATAATTCAGCATTTGTGTTGAAGAAATCGTTGGCCAGGTCAAGCAGATCTGGGTTCTTCCGAAGATCCCTGTCGGAAGACAGGAAGAGCTGTCGGACATCTTCGTTCATGGTGTCGATGCAACCGGTTAGTGTGCTGAGAGAATCGTACGACGCTGATCGGATCTTGAGGCCGTTGGAGCTGACGGGCTCTGGGTTTTGTGGTTGGATGGGAACCCTAGAAGAAAGAGAAGGAGACGAAGAGCTCCGTCTCTTCCGCGCCGTCAAGACAGGAATTCTGCGTCGGATACCGAAAATCTTCGACAGCTTTGTCATTCTTCTCCGAAATCAAACACGAAAACAGAAGATCAAGAACAGTACAAGAGCAGAGAATTCAGGAAGGAAGAAGAGCGAGCGAGAGAGAGATCGCAATGTGCGTGGAAGAAGAGAGAGCGAGAGAGAGATCGCAATGCGTATGTAAGAAGAGCGAGAGAGAGCAATGTGTGTGGATTAGCCGTTGCGATCTTGATATTATAGCCTTCGAAATTCCCATTTCTCTCTGTTAATTCAAATTTCAATTTCAAATTGCTAAACGTTCATCTAGATTTTCAATTTTGTGAATCATACGATGCATTTTGTTATTTCAAATTTTCATTTTGTTAATTATTATCTAATAAAACATTAAAAAAATAGAGATAAAAACGGCCCATTTCGGCCCAAACCCCAAAGGCCCCAAGAAGAAGCTCGCGGCGGAGAAGGCGGTCGAATCCATTAAACCCGGCTCCACCGCCGCCTTCTCCGTCGACCGGGCAGGCGAGCTCCCACATCGTCGGCATCCCGAGCTCGAGACGCACGCAGGAGCAGGGAATCCCGCTCCTCTCGTTAGACACGCATCCCCGGATCGATCTCGCCATCGATGGAGCCGACCCGAACCTGGATCTGGCCAGAGGCCGAGGTGGTGCATTTCTCCGGGAGAAGACGATGGAGGCTGAGGCGGTTCATGTGATTTGAATCAAATAAAAGCTGCATGAGATGGAGAGATAAGATTTTTTTTTTTAAAAAAAAAAAGAGAGTGGATTTCGAATTAAGCTTTGAAAGGGGGAGAAAGTTTCTTTCATTAGAGAATGTGTTGCAAAGCGAAGGAATAAAAGAAGAAAAAGGTGTTCAAGAGGTTTTCTTACCAAGAATGAATTATTTTCTTACATCATATTTCTCTTATAAATGGATCAATGATACAGTATAAAAAAGAAAAAAAATAATTATTTGAGAAGACAAAATAATTTATATACGAACTCATGGACGTACTTATATATACATCAAACATACATGACACATTTATCTTATCTTTGAACAAATATATATAAATATTTATACTTTTATAAAAATCGTATATAAATATATAAAATATAAAACTTTCATATAAATATATAAACTTTTTAAAAATTTTATATAAATACTTATACTTTTGAAAATTTTCAAATAAATCCAAAATTCAGATATTTTTTAAATAAAAATAGTAAATTTCGTTAACAAATTTTAAGTTTATTTAGAAATTTTTAAAAAATTTAACTACATTTATAAATTTTTTTTAAAAGTTTAGCTATTTATATAGAAATTTTATAATTTATTTATTTATTTGAGACTTTCATAAAAATTTAGATATTTAAATTTTATTTTTCCTTGTATATTTAAATCTCACCCCATATATTGCTCATATACACTTGCACACTTATCTCTATATATGCAAATTAATTACATTCAATACACATTATATTTTGTTCCCATTATTTTGACATTCTTTAATAATAAAATAGGTCAGTATATATCATTCCCTTCTAATCCATCTACTCTTCAAACTAAACATATTCATCGGTTCATCAAATATTTACGGTTATCATTGTGAAAATATTAGCCAATTAGTTTTCAATTTTGCAGTAAGTGAATTTTGATGATTGTTGACTGGTGGAATCTGATAACTCATATTTCTCTCTACATCTCCAGGGCGTTTTTATAGGATTTATACGGAGATCACATGCATTTGTAGGCATTATAGGCGTGTTTGGCCTCGAAACTCGGTTTGGTCGTGTTTTTTATAGGATTACAGGTCTCGGATGCGATTTGGAGCAAGACGGGAGCAATCTGGAGCTAAAACGATGAAAGAGTCAAGAATTTCCCGCCTTGACTCGGTCCGAGTCAGATACCCCGAGTCAACATGCCCGAGTCAGATACCCCGAGTCAACATGCCCGAGTCAGATACCCCGAGTCAACATGCCCGAGTCAGAAGATTGGTATATATGTGTGTATATATATATGTATGTATATATATATATATGTTTGTACGTGTATGTATATGTATATGTATATATATGTATTGTATGTGAATGTATTTATATATTTCATGTATATCACACGTAAGTTTATATATATAGATATAATACAATATGTATATCTATATATATATGGGAAAATGACATTTTTCTATACCAATTTAGTAAAATGTGACCTTTTCCTACACGAATTTTTAATTTGACAAAAACCTACACTATATTATCAAATGTCCCAAATCCATACACGAATTACCCAATTTTACTGCAATTTACTACACAATGCGAGATGGCGTTAAAATGTCCGTTAATTGCTGACGTGGAAGGCCACGTGGCGGCTGACTGGAAGGCCACATAGAAAATTTTGCCACGTCAGCATGCCACGTCGGATTTTAAAAAAAATTAAAAAAATAAAATAAAAAACTAAAAAAAATACATATATACATACCCATACATACAAATATATTTATATATACATACATACACATATATAAATATATATACATGTATATATATATGTATATATAAACATATGCAATGCATATATATATATATAGGCATACAAAATAAAAATATATATATATATACATACATCTATATGTATATACATATATATTCATATCTATATACAAATACAAATATAAATATATATACTCTTATGTATAAATATATCTATATATATACATAAAAAATAACAAATATACACATATATATACATACATCTATACAAATATATATATATAAATATATTTGTATGTACGTGTATGTATATATATATATATATATATGTATTTTTTATTTTTTATATATATATAAATATATACTTGTATATCAAATTAAAAATTTATATATATATATAAATATATTTGTATGTATGTATATATATTTGTATAGATGTATGTATATATATGTATATATATTTTATGGGAAAATTATATATGTATGTATATATTTATGTGTATATATTTAGTTTAAAAATTTTAAGTTTTATTTTTTAATATTTCTTTTTAAATTTAAATTTAAATTTTGAATTTTAATTTAAAATTTAAAAATTTTATTTTTCAAATTTGTAATTTTGTATTTTTAAAAAAAATTTAAAATTTAAAATTAAAATTTAAAATTTTTAAATTATTTGTATTTTAAATGAAGTTATATATATTTTATTTTGTATGTATATATAGATATATTTATATATAGGAGTATATATATTTATATTTGTATTTGTATATATATATGAATATATATATGCATATACACGTATAGATGTATGTATATATATGTATTTTTTTTATTTTGTATGCATGTATATATATATGCATTGCATATGTTTATATATATATGTATATGTATATATGTATTTATATATGTTTGTATGTATGTGTATATATATATATGTATTTTTTAATTTTTAAATTTTATTTTATTTTCGATTTTAATTTTTTAAATTTTTTAAATTTTTTTATTTTTTATTTTTTATTTATTTTTTTTTCTTTTTATTTTTTAAAATCTGACGTGGCAAAATTTTCTACGTGACCTTCCACGTTAACCGCCACATGGCATTCCACGTCAGCAATTAACGGACATTTTAACACCGTTTCGGATTGTGTAGTAAATTGCAATAAAATTGAGTAATTCGTGTATGGATTTGGGACATTTAACAATATAGTGTAGGTTTTTGTCAAATTAAAAATTCGTATAGGAAAATGTCACATTCTACTAAATTGGTGTAGAAAAATGTCATTTTTTCTATATATATATATTGATTAATGTTAGTGGGTATTTTGGTCATTTAACCAAAACGCAGTAAAACGCTATCGCAATGCAATCTTTTAGTTGCGATTAGAATATTAACGTTTTGTTGCGATTCCAACAATCACTTTTTCAATCGCCTGCAATCCCCAAAATCGCAATCGCTACGGTTGCTGGTGATTGCGTTACCACCAATCATACCCTCTTTGTCTTTGATTGTTAACTTCTCTAACGACATGATGTTGATATGCTTTTATCCTCTAACGTTGGGCTAAATTATTTCTGACGGCTATTTAATTTTAATCGGATCGGTCGGTTCAGATATACATCGATCGACTCAATTAATAACTAAAATAACCGAAGTGAATGCCCATCCCTAGTGCATTCCAAATGAGAGAAGACAAAAGTCAACTTTAAATTGAATGTATTGGTTAATTCACAAATGAGTATCGTTATTGACCACGTAAATATTCGTTTACTTGAATACGTTGTGAAAAAATATTTGTATTAGATAGTCTCAATTACACGAACCAACTAAGTTTAATGATATTATTTTTTTAGAAGAATTAAAAATATAATACAAAATTCATAATCTTTACTGAAAACATATTTTTTTTTTGTTGACGAGTAACTGAGTTTTTAAAATTATAAAAGTTGTATCACCGTCATGTCTAATTTTCGTTCTCCTAATTAAACCTACCATAATAACACCAAGATCAACATATCATGCTGATATTTTGTTTCTGAATGAAAAAAATATT